CTCTTTCCCACTGATGACTTAAGCATACCTTTCCCTTTCATGCAGGTTTCTTCCTGTGTATGTTTTAAAATAATTATATTCTGATCACCATGATTCTTAAGTGATATCTGAGGCAAAACAGCTGATTCAAAGCTCAAAAATATTTAATATTTTAACGGGGATTGGGGAAAGGGTGAGGAGATTATCTTATATTTTTAAATTGAGACTATGTTGACATTATGTCTATAAACGTAACTAAGATTCTCATCTCTGACCAGATTTATATAAACCAATTTCCTAAGTGTGAGAGTTCTACAAGTCCTACAACTAGATACAGAGACATGCTTTATTAATGTCTTTAAATACTTTTCTTTGTTTCATGGCTTTTGTTTGTTTTTTGGTAATTTCCACAATAGGAATCCATGGTTCACTATTTTGCAGTTATTTTTTTTCTGACAGGTCCTGGGGATTCGATTGGATTCAAGTCGGCTTTTCGGGTGTCCTAGTTATTTGTTAATATTGGCTTTTAAAACAAAAATTTTTTTCATATAAATAGGTTAAGTGCAAATTCTAATCATTAGTGTAACCATCTTTAAAGAACAGTCTAAATCCTTGATATAAGTTAAAATAGATAAATAGAGTTGCCCCTTGATATCCATGGGGAGTCGTTCCAGGACCTTTAAAGATATCAAAATCCCAGTTGCTCAAGCCTATTACATAAAATGGCATAGTATTTGCATTTAACATACATCCTCCTGTATACTTTAAATCATCTCTAAATTACTTATAATACCTAATACAAAGTAAATGCTAAGTAGTTGTAAATAGAATATGAATGCTATGTAAATAGTTGACCTTTGAACAACACAGTTTAAACTGTACATGTTCACTTATACTTGGATTTCTTTGTAGTAAGTACTACAGTACTACACTATCCCCGTTGGTCGAATCCCCATAAGCAGAACCGCAGATACGAAGGAATCAGAGAACCATATATACTGAAGAACACGTATATATGGAGCTTCAACTGAATGGAGGGTTGGTGCCCCTAACCCCTGTTACTCAAGGTTCACTTGTCCTTTTCCATGCAAGACAAATTCAAGTTTGCTTCTTATAACTTTCTGGAAAAAATATTTTCGATCCACGGTTGTTTGAATCTGGGCTTCTGAAAACTCATGGCTATGGAAGACCTGCTGAATTTACACAAGGAGAAAGGTCTTAAAAACTGATCAGCAGAGAAAAGAAAACACAAATGTCACAATGGTAAAGGTGAGAAATGACATTTATGTTTAAATATTAAATATTGATAAGGTAAAAAGAATGGAAGATAATTATATAAATATACTGTGGAAACTACATAAAGGGACATGTTTGGGGAAGATTTTACACAAATATGAGTCACTTACATTAATAAAGTAATTACATTCCTGGAGAGTTTGAAATGAACTAGCAGACTTTGGGGTGTAAGGCTGAGCAAAGAGGGTAACCAAACTGGGTGATTGCTCTAACATTTAAAGGTCAAACATTGATACTGATATTCCTTTTCTGTTGTAAGCAAGATGATGTTAAACAAAAGGAAAGGTGAAGGCAGGTTGAACACAACTTGTTTTAAAATTAACCCTAAAAGGAAGTGGCAAATGGAGGGACTGGTGAAGTTGAAGTATTAGCCGGAGTAATTTTTATGCTATTGAGGTTAAGAAAAATATTCACTGGAGCCAGGAGCTTTCAGTCTCAATAGAAAAACATGGTGAACATAAGAGATTAATGAGTAAATTAGGAACGTACGCAGCAACATAATAAACATTATGTTGGGCTCAATTGCAGGGAAGACAGAAGAAATTAATAGAGTTTTTTAAAAAAAAATTTTAACTTTGATTTTGTTGGGTCTTCCTTGCTGTGTGTGGGCTTTCCCTAGTGGTGCCGAGTGGGGACTATTTATGTCGGTGTGCAATGGCTTCTCTTGTTGCAGAGTAAATGGGTAAATGGGAGTTTTTAAATTTCACTTTCAGATATTTCATCATTAGTGTACAGGAATACAAGAGATTTCTGTGCATTAATTTTGTATACTGCTACTTGACCAAACCCATTAATTAGCTCAGTACTTTTCTTGTACCATCTTTCGGATTCTCTATGTATAGTATTCTGTCATCTGCAAACAGAAGTTTGCCTCTTCTTTTCCGATTTGAAGTGCTTTTATTCTTTTTTCTTCTCCAATTGCTGTGGCGATAACTTCCAGAGATATATTAAATAATAGTGATGATACTGGGCAACATTGTTTTGTTCCCTAACTTAGTGGAAATAGTTTCAGTTTCTCACCACTGAGGTCGATGTTGGCTGTGGGTGCCTTTGCTATGTTGAAGAAAGTTGCCTCTATGCCTACTTTTGGTGGGTTTTTTTTTTTTTTACCATAAAGGGGTGTGGAATTATTTGAAAGCTTTCTCTCCATCTATAGATATGACCATATGGTTTTTCTCCTTCAATTTTTAATATGGTGTATCATATTGGTTACTTTACCTATATTGAAGATTCTTTGCATTCCTG